ATAAAAAACTTGGTATTTTTATTGAGCTTTTACGATGGCCTATAAAATAAAATCATTAACAAAATTTGTCAATTTTTGAAAAAAATCATGAGTTTAGGGTAGTCGAATACCTTAAGAAACGCATCCCTTTTAGAAATATCTTACGAAAACTACCTGGAATAAAAATTAAAATATCTCGAGATTTTATTTAAATTTTTTAAAAAAAATTTGCAACAGATATATAATGCTTGCAATAGTGTTATCCTTTTTCATATGAAAAAAACAAAAATATTTATAGCAGAGCGTGGTTTCGATCCACGGACCTCTGGGTTATGGGCCCAGCACGCTTCCACTGCGCCACTCTGCTCTCGATTTCATTGCAATTCTATTATCCTTAAGAAACGCATCCCTTTTAGAAATATCTTACGAAAACTACCTGGAATAAAAATTAAAATATCTCGGAGATTTTATTTAGATTTTTTAAATAAAATTTGCAACGGATTTATAGTGCTTGCAATATTGTTCTCTTTTTTCATATGAAAAAAACAAAAATATTTATAGCAGAGCGTGGTTTCGATCCACGGACCTCTGGGTTATGGGCCCAGCACGCTTCCACTGCGCCACTCTGCTCTCGATTTCATTGCAATTCTAATATCCTTAAGAAACGCATCCCTTTTAGAAATATCTTACGAAAACTACCTGGAATAAAAATTAAAATATCTCGAGATTTTATTTAGATTTTTTAAAAAAAATTTGCAACGGATATATAGTGCTTGCAATATTGTTCTCTTTTTTCATATGAAAAAAACAAAAATATTTATAGCAGAGCGTGGTTTCGATCCACGGACCTCTGGGTTATGGGCCCAGCACGCTTCCACTGCGCCACTCTGCTCTCGATTTCATTGCAATTCTAATATCCTTAAGAAACGCATCCCTTTTAGAAATATCTTACGAAAACTACCTGGAATAAAAATTAAAATATCTCGAGATTTTTTTAGATTTTTTTTAAAAAAATTTGCAACAGATATATAGTGCTTGCAATAGTGTTATCCTTTTTCATATGAAAAAAAAACAAAATATTTATAGCAGAGCGTGGTTTCGATCCACGGACCTCTGGGTTATGGGCCCAGCACGCTTCCACTGCGCCACTCTGCTCTAGCTCTCAAAGCAATTTTTATATCCTTAAGAAACGCATCACTTTTAGAAGAACTCAACGAACACGGCCTCGAAGAAAAATTAAAATAACTCGCGATATTATTGAGTTATTTTAAAAAAATTGCAACGGATTTATAGTTCTTGAAATATTGTTCTCTTTTTTCATATGAAAAAAACTAAAATATTTATAGCAGAGCGTGGTTTCGATCCACGGACCTCTGGGTTATGGGCCCAGCACGCTTCCACTGCGCCACTCTGCTCTCGATTTCATTGCAATTCTAATATCCTTAAGAAACGCATCCCTTTTAGAAATATCTTACGAAAACTACCTGGAATAAAAATTAAAATATCTCGAGATTTTATTTAGATTTTTTAAAAAAATTTGCAACAGATATATAGTGCTTGCAATAGTGTTATCCTTTTTCATATGAAAAAAACAAAAATATTTATAGCAGAGCGTGGTTTCGATCCACGGACCTCTGGGTTATGGGCCCAGCACGCTTCCACTGCGCCACTCTGCTCTCCTTTTTATAGCAATTTCATTATCCTTAAAAAACGCTTCCCTTTTAGAAATATCTTACGAAAACTACCTGGAATAAAAATTTAAATATCTCGAGATTTTATTGAGTAAATTAAAAATTTTGCAACGGATTTATAGTGCTTGCAATATTGTTCTCTTTTTTCATATAGAAAAAAAAACTAAAATGTTTATAGCAGAGCGTGGTTTCGATCCACGGACCTCTGGGTTATGGGCCCAGCACGCTTCCACTGCGCCACTCTGCTCTCGATTTCATTGCAATTCTATTATCCTTAAGAAACGCATCCCTTTTAGAAATATCTTACGAAAACTACCTGGAATAAAAATTAAAATATCTCGAGACTTTATTTAGATTTTTTAAAAAAAATTTGCAACGGATATATAGTGCTTGCAATAGTGTTCTCTTTTTTTTATATGAAAAAAAAACTAAAACATTTATAGCAGAGCGTGGTTTCGATCCACGGACCTCTGGGTTATGGGCCCAGCACGCTTCCACTGCGCCACTCTGCTCTCGATTTCATTGCAATTCTAATATCCTTAAGAAACGCATCCCTTTTAGAAATATCTTACGAAAACTACCTGGAATAAAAATTAAAATAATATCTCGAGATTTTATTTAGATTTTTTAAAAAAATTTGCAACAGATATATAGTGCTTGCAATAGTGTTCTCTTTTTTTTTTATATGAAAAAAAAAACAAAAATATTTATAGCAGAGCGTGGTTTCGATCCACGGACCTCTGGGTTATGGGCCCAGCACGCTTCCACTGCGCCACTCTGCTCTCGCTTCAAAGCAATTTTTATATCCTTAAGAAACGCATCCCTTTTAGAAATATCTTACGAAAACTACCTGGAATAAAAATTAAAATATCTCGAGATTTTATTGAGTTTTTTTAAAAAAATTTGCAACGGATTTATAGTGCTTGCAATAGTGTTCTCTTTTTTATATGAAAAAAAAAAACTAAAATGTTTATAGCAGAGCGTGGTTTCGATCCACGGACCTCTGGGTTATGGGCCCAGCACGCTTCCACTGCGCCACTCTGCTCTCGATTTCATTGCAATTCTAATATCCTTAAGAAACGCATCCCTTTTAGAAATATCTTACGAAAACTACCTGGAATAAAAATTAAAATATCTCGAGATTTTATTTAGATTTTTAAAAAAAATTTGCAACAGATATATAGTGCTTGCAATAGTGTTATCCTTTTTCATATGAAAAAAACAGAAAATTTATAGCAGAGCGTGGTTTCGATCCACGGACCTCTGGGTTATGGGCCCAGCACGCTTCCACTGCGCCACTCTGCTCTCGATTTCATAGCAATTTCATTATCCTTAAAAACGCATCCCTTTTAGAAATATCTTACGAAAACTACCTGGAATAAAAATTCAAATATCTCGAGATTTTATTGAGTTTTTAAAAAAAAAATTGCAACGGATTTATAGTGCTTGCAATATTGTTCTCTTTTTTCATATAGAAAAAAAAACTAAAATGTTTATAGCAGAGCGTGGTTTCGATCCACGGACCTCTGGGTTATGGGCCCAGCACGCTTCCACTGCGCCACTCTGCTCTCCATTTTTCATTGCAATTCTATATCCTTAAGAAACGCATCCCTTTAGAAATATCTTACGAAAACTACCTGGAATAAAAATTAAAATATCTCGAGATTTTTTTAGATTTTTTTAAAAAATTTGCAACGGATATATAGTGCTTGCAATAGTGTTCTCTTTTTTCATATGAAAAAAACAAAAATATTTATAGCAGAGCGTGGTTTCGATCCACGGACCTCTGGGTTATGGGCCCAGCACGCTTCCACTGCGCCACTCTGCTCTAGCTCTCAAAGCAATTTTTATATCCTTAAGAAACGCATCCCTTTTAGAAATATCATACGAAAACTACCTGAAGAATAAAAATTCAAATATCTCGAGATTTTATTGAGTTATTTTAAAAAAATTGCAACGGATTTATAGTTCTTGAAATATTGTTCTCTTTTTTTCATATGAAAAAAAACTAAAATATTTATAGCAGAGCGTGGTTTCGATCCACGGACCTCTGGGTTATGGGCCCAGCACGCTTCCACTGCGCCACTCTGCTCTCGATTTCATTGCAATTCTAATATCCTTAAGAAACGCATCCCTTTTAGAAATATCTTACGAAAACTACCTGGAATAAAAATTAAAATATCTCGAGATTTTATTTAGATTTTTTAAAAAAATTTGCAACAGATATATAGTGCTTGCAATAGTGTTATCCTTTTTCATATGAAAAAAACAAAAATATTTATAGCAGAGCGTGGTTTCGATCCACGGACCTCTGGGTTATGGGCCCAGCACGCTTCCACTGCGCCACTCTGCTCTCCTTTTTATAGCAATTTCATTATCCTTAAAAAACGCATCCCTTTTAGAAATATCTTACGAAAACTACCTGGAATAAAAATTCAAATATCTCGAGATTTTATTGAGTTTTTTAAAAATTTTGCAACGGATTTATAGTGCTTGCAATATTGTTCTCTTTTTTCATATAGAAAAAAAAAAACTAAAATGTTTATAGCAGAGCGTGGTTTCGATCCACGGACCTCTGGGTTATGGGCCCAGCACGCTTCCACTGCGCCACTCTGCTCTCGATTTCATTGCAATTCTATTATCCTTAAGAAACGCATCCCTTTTAGAAATATCTTACGAAAACTACCTGGAATAAAAATTCAAATATCTCGAGATTTTATTGAGTTATTTAAAAAATTTGCAACGGATATATAGTGCTTGCAATACTGTTCTCTTTTTTTTTTCATATGAAAAAAAAACTAAAAATTTTATAGCAGAGCGTGGTTTCGATCCACGGACCTCTGGGTTATGGGCCCAGCACGCTTCCACTGCGCCACTCTGCTCTCGATTTCATTGCAATTCTAATATCCTTAAGAAACGCATCCCTTTTAGAAATATCTTACGAAAACTACCTGGAATAAAAATTAAAATATCTCGGAGATTTTATTTAGATTTTTTAAAAAAATTTGCAACGGATATATAGTGCTTGCAATAGTGTTTTTTTTTTCATATGAAAAAAACAAAAATTTATAGCAGAGCGTGGTTTCGATTCACGGACCTCTGGGTTATGGGCCCAGCACGCTTCCACTGCGCCACTCTGCTCTCGATTTTTAGCAATTTCTATTATCCTTAAAAACGCATCCCTTTTAGAAATATCTTACGAAAACTACCTGGAATAAAAATTCAAATATCTCGAGATTTTATTTAGTTTTTTAAAAAAAAAATTTGCAACGGATTTATAGTGCTTGCAATATTGTTCTCTTTTTCATATGAAAAAAATAAAAATATTTATAGCAGAGCGAGATTTCGATCTACGGTCCTCTGGGTTATGGACCCAGCACGCTTCCACTGCGCCACACTGCTCTCCTTTTCATAGCAATTCTATTATCCTTAAGAAACGCATCCCTTTTAGAAATATCTTACGAAAACTACCTGGAATAAAAATTCAAATATCTCGAGATTTTATTGAGTTATTTTAAAAAAATTGCAACGGATTTATAGTGCTTGCAATATTGTTCTCTTTTTTTCATATAGAAAAAAAAAAAAAATGTTTTATAGCAGAGCGTGGTTTCGATCCACGGACCTCAGGGTTATGGGCCCAGCACGCTTCCACTGCGCCACTCTGCTCTCGATTTCATTGCAATTCTATTATCCTTAAGAAACGCATCCCTTTTAGAAATATCTTACGAAAACTACCTGGAATAAAAATTAAAATATCTCGAGATTTTATTGAGTTTTTTTAAATAAAATTTGCAACGGATTTATAGTGCTTGCAATATTGTTCTCTTTTTTCATATGAAAAAAAAACTAAAATATTTATAGCAGAGCGTGGTTTCGATCCACGGACCTCTGGGTTATGGGCCCAGCACGCTTCCACTGCGCCACTCTGCTCTCGATTTCATTGCAATTCTAATATCCTTAAGAAACGCATCCCTTTTAGAAATATCTTACGAAAACTACCTGGAATAAAAATTAAAATATCTCGAGATTTTATTTAGATTTTTTAAAAAAATTTGCAACGGATATATAGTGCTTGCAATATTGTTCTCTTTTTCATATGAAAAAAAAAAAAAAAATTTATAGCAGAGCGTGGTTTCGATCCACGGACCTCTGGGTTATGGGCCCAGCACGCTTCCACTGCGCCACTCTGCTCTCGATTTCATTGCAATTCTAATATCCTTAAGAAACGCATCCCTTTTAGAAATATCTTACGAAAACTACCTGGAATAAAAATTAAAATATCTCGAGATTTTATTTAGATTTTTTAAAAAATTTGCAAAATATATAGTGCTTGCAATAGATTTTATTTATATAGCAGAGCGTGGTTTCGATTCTTTAAAAGCAAAAAAACTTGCTCTACTTTCAAAGCAATTTTTATATCCTTAAGTTCATTTTTAGAAATATCTTACGAAAACACGGCTGAAAAAAAATTAAAATAACTCGATTGTTATTTTAAAAAAATTTGCAACGGATTTATAGTTCTTGAAATATTGTTCTCTTTTTTTCATATGAAAAAACTAAAATATTTATAGCAGAGCGTGGTTTCGATCCACGGACCTCTGGGTTATGGGCCCAGCACGCTTCCACTGCGCCACTCTGCTCTCGATTTCATTGCAATTCTAATATCCTTAAGAAACGCATCCCTTTTAGAAATATCTTACGAAAACTACCTGGAATAAAAATTAAAATATCTCGAGATTTTATTTAAATTTTTTAAAAAAAAATTTGCAACAGATATATAGTGCTTGCAATAGTGTTATCCTTTTTCATATGAAAAAAACAGAAATATTTATAGCAGAGCGTGGTTTCGATCCACGGACCTCTGGGTTATGGGCCCAGCACGCTTCCACTGCGCCACTCTGCTCTCCTTTTTTATAGCAATTTCATTATCCTTAAAAACGCATCCCTTTTAGAAATATCTTACGAAAACTACCTGGAATAAAAATTCAAATATCTCGAGATTTTATTGAGTAAATTAAAAATTTTGCAACGGATTTATAGTGCTTGCAATATTGTTCTCTTTTTTCATATAGAAAAAAAAAACTAAAATGTTTATAGCAGAGCGTGGTTTCGATCCACGGACCTCTGGGTTATGGGCCCAGCACGCTTCCACTGCGCCACTCTGCTCTCGATTTCATTGCAATTCTATTATCCTTAAGAAACGCATCCCTTTTAGAAATATCTTACGAAAACTACCTGGAATAAAAATTCAAATATCTCGAGATTTTATTTAGAGTTTTTAAAAAAAAAATTTGCAACGGATTTATAGTGCTTGCAATATTGTTCTTTTTTTCATATGAAAAAAAAAAAATATTTATAGCAGAGCGTGGTTTCGATCCACGGACCTCTGGGTTATGGGCCCAGCACGCTTCCACTGCGCCACTCTGCTCTCGATTTCATTGCAATTCTAATATCCTTAAGAAACGCATCCCTTTTAGAAATATCTTACGAAAACTACCTGGAATAAAAATTAAAATATCTCGAGATTTTATTTAGATTTTTTAAAAAAATTTGCAACGGATATATAGTGCTTGCAATATTGTTCTCTTTTTTCATATGAAAAAAAAACAAAATATTTATAGCAGAGCGTGGTTTCGATCCACGGTCCTCTGGGTTATGGGCCCAGCACGCTTCCACTGCGCCACTCTGCTCTCGATTTCATAGCAATTCTATATCCTTAAGAAACGCATCCCTTTTAGAAATATCTTACGAAAACTACCTGGAATAAAAATTCAAATATCTCGAGATTTTATTGAGTTTTTTAAAAAAATTTTGCAACGGATTTATAGTGCTTGCAATATTGTTCTCTTTTTTTTCATATAAAAAAAAAAACTAAAATGTTTATAGCAGAGCGTGGTTTCGATCCACGGACCTCTGGGTTATGGGCCCAGCACGCTTCCACTGCGCCACTCTGCTCTCGATTTTTATAGCAATTCTATTATCCTTAAGAAACGCATACCTTTTAGAAATATCTTACGAAAACTACCTGGAATAAAAATTCAAATATCTCGAGATTTTATTGAGTTATTTAAAAAAAATTTTGCAACGGATTTATAGTGCTTGCAATATTGTTCTCTTTTTTTTCATATAGAAAAAAAAAAATAAAATTTTATAGCAGAGCGTGGTTTCGATCCACGGACCTCTGGGTTATGGGCCCAGCACGCTTCCACTGCGCCACTCTGCTCTCGATTTCATTGCAATTCTAATATCCTTAAGAAACGCATCCCTTTTAGAAATATCTTACGAAAACTACCTGGAATAAAAATTAAAATATCTCGAGATTTTATTTAGATTTTTTAAAAAAATTTGCAACGGATTATAGTGCTTGCAATATTGTTCTCTTTTTTTTATATGAAAAAAAAAAAAAAATATATTTATAGCAGAGCGTGGTTTCGATCCACGGACCTCTGGGTTATGGGCCCAGCACGCTTCCACTGCGCCACTCTGCTCTCGATTTCATTGCAATTCTAATATCCTTAAGAAACGCATCCCTTTTAGAAATATCTTACGAAAACTACCTGAATAAAAAATTAAAATATCTCGAGATTTTTTTTAGATTTTTTAAAAAAATTTGCAACAGATATATAGTGCTTGCAATAGTGTTATTTTTTCATATGAAAAAAACAAAAAGTATTTATAGCAGAGCGAGGTTTCGATGCACGGTCCTCTGGGTTATGGGCCCAGCACGCTTCCACTGCGCCACTCTGCTCTAGCTCTCAAAGCAATTTTTATATCCTTAAGAAACGCATCACTTTTAGAAGAACTCAACGAACACGGCCTCGAAGAAAAATTAAAATAACTCGCGATATTATTGAGTTATTTTAAAAAAATTGCAACGGATTTATAGTGCTTGCAATATTGTTTTCTTTTTTCATATGAAAAAAACTAAAATATTTATAGCAGAGCGTGGTTTCGATCCACGGACCTCTGGGTTATGGGCCCAGCACGCTTCCACTGCGCCACTCTGCTCTCGATTTCATTGCAATTCTAATATCCTTAAGAAACGCATCCCTTTTAGAAATATCTTACGAAAACTACCTGGAATAAAAATTAAAATATCTCGAGATTTTATTTAGATTTTTTTAAAAAATTTGCAACAGATATATAGTGCTTGCAATAGTGTTATCCTTTTTCATATGAAAAAAACAGAAATATTTATAGCAGAGCGTGGTTTCGATCCACGGACCTCTGGGTTATGGGCCCAGCACGCTTCCACTGCGCCACTCTGCTCTCGTTTTTTAGCAATTCTATTATCCTTAAAAAACGCATCCCTTTTAGAAATATCTTACGAAAACTACCTGGAATAAAAATTCAAATATCTCGAGATTTTATTGAGTTTTTAAAAAAATTTTGCAACGGATTTATAGTGCTTGCAATATTGTTCTCTTTTTTCATATAGAAAAAAAAAAAAACTAAAATGTTTATAGCAGAGCGTGGTTTCGATCCACGGACCTCTGGGTTATGGGCCCAGCACGCTTCCACTGCGCCACTCTGCTCTCGATTTCATTGCAATTCTATTATCCTTAAGAAACGCATCCCTTTTAGAAATATCTTACGAAAACTACCTGGAATAAAAATTAAAATATCTCGAGATTTTATTTAGATTTTTTTAAAAAAATTTGCAACGGATATATAGTGCTTGCAATAGTGTTCTCTTTTTCATATGAAAAAAAAAAAATATTTATAGCAGAGCGTGGTTTCGATCCACGGACCTCTGGGTTATGGGCCCAGCACGCTTCCACTGCGCCACTCTGCTCTCGATTTCATATGCAATTTTTATATCCTTAAGAAACGCATCACTTTTAGAAATATCTCAACGAAAACGGCCTCGAATAAAAATTAAAATATCTCGAGATTTTATTGAGTTATTTTAAAAAAAATTTGCAACGGATTTATAGTTCTTGCAATATTGTTCTCTTTTTTTTTATATGAAAAAAAAAACTAAAATGTTTATAGCAGAGCGTGGTTTCGATCCACGGACCTCTGGGTTATGGGCCCAGCACGCTTCCACTGCGCCACTCTTCTCGATTTCATTGCAATTCTAATATCCTTAAGAAACGCATCCCTTTTAGAAATATCTTACGAAAACTACCTGGAATAAAAATTAAAATATCTCGAGATTTTATTTAGATTTTTTTTGAAAAATTTGCAACAGATATATAGTGCTTGCAATAGTGTTATCCTTTTTCATATGAAAAAAACAGAAATATTTATAGCAGAGCGTGGTTTCGATCCACGGACCTCTGGGTTATGGGCCCAGCACGCTTCCACTGCGCCACTCTGCTCTCCTTTTTATAGCAATTTCATTATCCTTAAAAACGCATCCCTTTTAGAAATATCTTACGAAAACTACCTGGAATAAA